CTTTTTACGTTGAATACACGTGGCTAGCTCGTGCAAAGAATCGCGTACATCATCAGGAAGTCGCGCGCCCATCGGACGGCGGAGAGGGTACGTCGCTTTGCCACGTCGCCGCTCTCCTCTCGTGTAAGAGAACACGCCTCTCCGATCAAAGTCGCAGTTGCGGTCCTCAAATACGGTGAGCTTTTCCTTCTCCTTCTTTCTGTTTACCGATACCCGTCGGCGGATCCCCGTCTGCAATTTGGTCCGTCGAATTCGTTGTTCTATTTTCCTCCCAGATTGTTGCGCTTTCTTTTCGATTAAGTCTCTCGTGTTCATGCAGCAGCAAAATTGATACGATCTGGTCCCTAGGTTTTAGGACTTGGATTCACCATCAATATATAAGAGGGTATGTTCCCCCCTCTATTTTCTCTAATCCTTTGATGTATGTATTGATTGCTAAGGTTTGTGATGTTTTTCTGCTTATGTGACTCGTATATTATATATTATGGTATCTAAATCATTCTGCAAATTCTGTTGTGAAGATTGAAGCTAAAGGGAAATTTCATGTCTAATGTTGTTTTATGGCACATATTTGTATATACGGTCTCCCATTTGTTTTCCATGAAAAGAACCTTTAAGTAGTTCTAACTTCTGAGTGTCGATCCTGATTTATACAATATATATTATAAATATATAATATGTGCTTAGATTTCTTTCCTTTAATTTCTTTAGCACAAATGCCTACTCCCCTGTGCTTATGTATAGACTTGCTTTGCCAAGTGATCTTTGTTGGTGAGTTTTTGATGGCACTTCAAGAAGATAAATATGGTCTTATAGGTACAGTAGACTTATATTGTGGATTTATTATAAATTTTATTAGATTATTTAGTGAATCCAATTGATCCTAGTCTAGTTATGTTCCATGAGTTACAGTAGCAAAAGCTAACTCTACCCTCTCAACAACAACAATGATGACAACAAACTATAATGTCTCAGTTATTTGGGTTACATGGATCTTTAGTTTGTCCAACAATCTTGATAGTCTGCTTTTAGAAGTCAGTGGGGACTCTTTTGTTGATTATGTTGGAATCTGAATAAAACTGAAAGGTATCTTATGAGGGGGTGTAGGAGTCCTAATTTGAGTAGGAAAGTGTTGATCAACTATAGAATGATTAGTCATGGGTTGCTACATCAGTGTTATGTGGTGTGAAAATGAAGGGTGTACTTTCTTAACCACAGGCCTTCAATATTGCTGTAGTCTAGTTTTCATGTTTACTTCTTCCCTCTACTCTTTTACCTCTATTTTTCTTCCCTCTGCTCTCTGCTTATATTGGAATTATCAACTGCATGCCAGAAAACTTCCGTATGTCTGTTTTCCTGACAAAATATATCCGGACACCTGCTGATTTTAGGCTGAGATAAAGAAAGTGCCCCTTATTGTTTGAGATCTCATCTTCAAATTTATAGCCTTCTATCATCCTGGGCATGGTTGGTTCTTCTTCTTGTTTGTTTAGAAGTTGGTACTTAATTTAACTAATATTCACATACCAAACGGAAAAACCAATTGTTTCTTCCTTTCTTCTTGGTACATGCATGCATCTAACTCGTGATGCCCACTGATGAAGTCTTAAGATAAAATTATTAGATTAAGAAGAGTCATGACAATGGAATCTAATGAAAGATCTATTGAATTTCATGATGCATAACTCCATCTTTTATGGGAAGTTGTACCAATGTTAAATGCTCAAACAAGAAAATGTTTAGCACTATGTCTAGTATATTAGTATGACTGCCTTGTCTTTCTTACTTGTGAATCTTGAATATTGCCATGTTTTATTTTATGCACTATAACATCATTGATCAAGGATCTTGTCATCAGACTATCCATGTATGGTTTAGCTGAATTACAAGTAGAAGGAGATGAAAATTGCCAAGTTCATGCCATTATGATTCTGTTTAATTATGATGATGTTCGATGATCAACTTCTCTATTTTTTATATCAGTTTTTTTTATTGAACAGTTTCGAGCATTAGCAGATCAGCTTTTCCACAATCCTGATTATCATAAGCATGTGAGTAAGGCAGTTGTAAAGTATTCTTGTCTTCTCTGTTTGCCTTTTCTCCTCGTATCTTTTTAGACAATCTTCATCTGATAACATAAAATGTTGAACAGAAGCTTCTTAATTGGTTAGCTTTTGTCTGTTCTCTACTTTCATTTTGCATCACTGTGGGAATACCAGATATAGGTGTGACAAAGGGGATGTGAATTCTTAGTATGGAAATATAGTTTTCGGAAGCTCCTTACTAGTTTGCTGTTTTTCACTAGAACATGCCCGAACCTCCTTCTACAACACTACCTGTTTAAGCACATTTACCTGAAAATTAACAAAAAAAAAACAGGAATGCTGTTACAATTACTAGCTAGCTCAGTCGCCTAAACAACAACAACTCTTTAGTGCAATGTGTTGATACACTTCGGTACCAACTAGTACAATTTTGTCTGGGGGTGGAAGAATTGAAAGAGTAAAAGAGAGGCAAGAGGAGAGTCGAGGGAAGCGGAGGAGGAGATGGCAGCATATAATGGGTAGGATGAGAGGTGGAGGAGGCAATGGCGACATGGTGAGAAGGTGGCAACAGGGAGGAGGTGGAGGGGATAGAGAGAGACATTTACAGAGAAACAGAAGAATCGACATCGAAAGAGGCATGACATGACAATTACATATTGAGGATAGCCTAGCTTCTTCTTATCATTGATGTTTATACACTGCATTAACCAATCTGGGCTTCAGGCTGGTGGTTGTCACTCCTTTTGTGGGAAAGTCATTTTCAGAGTACTGGTAGTTGTTTCCTTTAGTAATTGGAGTCCTGACATAAACAGCTTGGAGATGATAGGTCCATTTATTCTTCTATTATATGAAATCAATAATATGCTTCACAAAATTTGATTTTTATCTTCTCAGCTTAAACATTTGAAGAAACATTATGAAGGCTGTGTTCCCATGGAGTCCAAGAAGTACCTGAAAATAATGAAAAGGTTTTGGCTTCTTAATCGTGTCTTCCTCTTTAATTTGTAATCCAAAAGTTCATCATTGTTACTAACCTTAAATCTTTTCTTTTTGGAGAATGGGAAGATCACTTGACCCTACAAACAGTTGCAGACCGAGTAATTTTGAATTGAACTGTTCATTCTCTGCTTCCTGATTTAGAACAGGCTTATAGGCATTTAGTCTGCCCAATAGCTGATGTGCCAGATTTTTTTTTGTGCAATTATTGTATGTGTATATGTATATTCTTCTTCTAAACTATGCTTGTAGTATGAAGTGCATCAAAGTTCTTCTCCCTCGAGGGTTGTGATATAGAAATGGCCACAGGATATGGGAAGATTTATTGCGTGATTAAAAGAACGAGAAAAAGAAAACTGAATCTAACCTGACGTGGCAGCCGTTGATCACATCAAGTTTTCAGAAAGCCATGCTGTTGACAATGGGTTAAGTCAAAGCGTCATCAGGTTCATGTGGGGCCCGCATGAGCGGACGGCTGAGATGGGAGATCATGGCAACATATGAGAAGAATCACCGAAACGATATCCTCATGCCCCCAAATTGGACACGTCCACGTACTCGCTATTGTCTTCTTTTCCCTAGCCGGACGCTTGCATAGTTCCCTTACGCAGGAAGAAACCGTGCCCACGTCGCGATTTGTGGTTGGAGGACTCTCTGTTCACGCAGCGTCACAGAACCCACCGGTGTAATGGCAACGAAGACGGTGCCCCCCACATTGCGGTACCTAACGCGTGATGCACGCAGGAGACCTCCTGCTTTAAGAAACGTGCCTCCGTAACATGAACCGCAGATCGTGCCAAAGTCTACGTGTGTCCTCCTTCCTCATTGCAAGCACTGAATTCTAATCCAATCCTTCCTCTATCAAACTGCACAAATTGACATCGGGTCACGTTTAAGCAAGTGCGATCGGTTTGGTCAACATGTAGGTGTAAAAAGTAATATTAAGTATAAATGTTATTCACAACATAGTTCATATTCACTAATGTGTTCCACTTGTTCGATTCGATATTTATACGCCGGGACACGCTTAATCGAACCCCGCTGACCGCATCAGCAGAGCACGACAGCGTAGTCAAGAACCGATTACAACCAACACGTTGGGTGCATATATCAATCTCCTCAGCAAACCAATCCACGTAACGAAGAAAAGAAAAAGGAAGAAATACTAAGTACTACGAACGGAATACCCACTCCGTTACCAGGATATATCTCCTGGCGGAAGATCGCTCATGTCCGTTGGCCCACCGAGGGAGGACCTATCTGGGCGAGTGCAGACGCGGGTGGGTTCGTTTGATTTTCTACTTTTCTGGTTCATTTTCTTATTTGAAGGGCATTTTGGGGTTTCCACCACGTTCGCTTGAGGAATGGAATTTGGATTTGGAGTTCCCCCATTCGCAACGGTGGTGTTTTATTGGGGAACATCTCATTTGTCACCGCCTTCTCCTCTTCGTTTCGTTCCACGTTCTCGCCTTCCAAGCCCCACCTTTCGTTCGCTCTCAGGTATAATTATCGTTCTCCGATCGTATTTATGCTCAATCGCATCTTTACTTCACCTGAAGTCTCCTGGATTTTGGGGTTTGGTGTGGGTGGACGACAGATTATTTTTTTCTTCTTTCTTTTTCTTTTCTGGTTCTTGAATGGAGAATGAGTTCTGGGAATGTGCTTCGTCCCAATCTTGAGCTGGACGGTGTTCCAAGCTTAGTCTATAAGAGGCTTTCTGTCGAAATAATCTCCTAGGTTTTGTTAATTGCCTCTTTTCTTGTTTCTTTTTTGGTTTCGGAACACCTTTTGCTGTATTTAACGTTGGTTTGATTTGTTTTCTCCTGGGAGTCTATGAATTTGTGCTTCTATTGCAATAATTTAGTCTCTTCTCACGAGTAGTTGACCTAGAAGCATTAGTTCTTTTATTTTGGCAACGTTCTGACGTATCTGTCAGCGTCTCTTTTTTCTCCCTTTGTGAAGGGGGTTAAGTTCTTGTAAGACTGATGGATGCGCTAGTTCTATCTCGTGGATAAAGTTTAACTGTAAGAAAGAAACTAGTGGACTAGTTTCAGCTTTTTCTTGGAATTGTAAATAAGTAAAACTGTCAAGGACATCTGGGGCATGTAACTAGGGCAATCCGTGCAGCACATGTTATCATTAGAGCATAAATAATACCTCTCACGTTATATTAATTAAGACATGCTTACTAAGCCATGCAGATTCTGGAAGCTGTGTTATTTGGACTTGAAACCGAAACCAATTGAACTCACAAAAAGGTTTAGTTTGCTAGAAGGTCTTGCTTGCTTGCTATTGGTCGTTGGCTACTGATTGTTAAGTTTCTAGCCTGTATCTTATATCTTTTTCAAAAAAAACATGGTTAACATGATTCTTACTAAAATGCTACCGTGATGGTTCCATTGTTCTAGTTGCATTCAGTTTTAGATAGTATTTTAATGTTTGAGGCATCGCATACTTGACATGGTCTACATACTCGAATGTCACTTGTTAAATGCAGATGTTATGCATTGATTTTGTCCAAAACAATGTGTACCTAATTTTTAATTTATCAAATGGGGTAAGATTAATGATCCCCTTGTTGAGAGAGGGAGGAGGATGGGGAGAGGGGACATCCTACTTATCAATATATATATATTTTTCTGTTGTGTTATTCTATGGAGTCCTTGGAATCAGTGGTCCAAAATAAATGCATTTGTTTTATTTTGCAGTTTACTGAGGATACTTAAAATTTTATTTTTTTTGTTAAAAATGTTTCTTCTGTGTAAGTTTGTTAATTTTACTCTTGCTGCTTGTTATGATATCTTAATCAATGATCCATTTACTATGTTATCCTTAGGTACAATTTCAAAAGTGGTCCTCTGGTATAGTTCTTCTCTCCGCAACAACAAGAAGACCATTGCAAGATGTCAAGAATTGATTAATGGGCAAAAATAAGCAGTCTATTGGTCCTTTGTTTGATACCCTCAGAATGGAGAGGGTTAGGACAATCTTAACTCACACCTATCCTTATCCACATGAACATTCAAGGCATGCGATGACGGCAGTTATGGTTGGATGCCTGTTCTTTATATCTTCTGACAACATGCATACCCTTATTCAGAAGTTGGACAAGAATTTCAAATGGTGGTCCATGTACTTCTGCTTGATTGGTTTTTTCTATTTTTTCTCATCTCCTTTTGTCAGGAAAACTATTAAACCAAGCTATTCAAACTTTAGTCGCTGGTATGCCTCTCTCTATATAGCTGCAAGTAATTGTATTATTCTTTTATTTGTGTCGTCCTCCTTGGTCTTTGTTTAGGCAAAATAAAGAAAGAAGAGATAAATAGTATCAACAAATCTTACTTATTTAAAATGAACCATCAGACATGCTGCCATAGCGGATGGAAGTTTTATGGAGTAATTGCAAATTTATTTTGTTGTAGGTATATTGCATGGATCTTTGTAGCAGCCTTATATCATCTCCCGAGTTTTCAGTCGATGGGAGTGGATTTGCGGATGAATCTTTCTCTATTTTTGACAATTTATATCTCTTCAGTCTTTTTTCTTATTGTGTTTCATATCATATTTCTTGGCCTTTGGTATGTGGGTCTTGTTTCTCGTGTAGCAGGGAAACGGCCAGAAATCCTAGCCATCATCCAGAATTGTACAGTAAGCACTTTAGCTGGTCCCCATATATAAATCAACAAATCCTCTATTAAGAATTTTCCCTGTATAACAAATTGCCTCTCCTGCTATAGTGCAGGTCATTAGTATAGCTTGCTGTGTATTCTATAGTCATCGTGGAAACCTAGCTGTTGTAAGAGAAAACCACTTTGATAGAAGGACTTCAAGTTGGTTGTCCTTTTCGTTTTGGAAGAAGCAAGAAACAAACACTTGGATATCAAAGTTTCTCAGAATGAATGAGTTTAAAGACCAGATTTGTTCATCTTGGTTTGCTCCAGTTGGATCTGCAAGCGACTATCCTCTTTTTTCTAAATGGGTCCTTTATGGGGAGGTGACATATTGTCATCCACATTGGATTATTCATCGAGCTTTAATCTTCACAGTTGTTTGGCCCGTGTTTTAAATAATTTTGTTCTTCATTTTTCAGCTAACATGCAGTGGATCATGTCCTGGTCTTTCCGATGAAATATCCCCTTTATTCTCATTGTGGGCGACATTTATGGGACTTTACATGGCTAATTATGTGGTGGAACGGTCAACTGGGTATGCAATAGTTTTAAGTTTTAAATCCATTGTGGAAAGTGTCTAATCAAGCTTGAGACACTGTGAGCTTATATTTGAGTGCTATGTAGGAGTATTTTCATAGAAGGCTTGTATTTTAATTGTTTAGATGTTACAATGGCATCAAATGTTGGATGGTCCCATCTCTATGTTGAAATTCACATTCCTTTATGGCCCTTCTAATTCATCATCTTAAATCTCATAGATGGGCTCTCACACATCCTTCATCAATATCAGAATATGAGAAGTTGAAAAAGCAAATGAAGCCTGATTTCTTGGATATGGTTCCATGGTACTCAGGGTAGGTTATTAGCTATTGTAAACTATGATTTACAGCAAAGATTGGAATTTGACAATGGTTCTGACGGTTTATGGTAACATTTTACAGGACATCAACTGATTTATTCAAAACGGTATTTGATCTCATGGTGTCAGTAACTTTGTTTCTGGGTCGGTTTGATATGCGTATGATGCAGGTAAAACTGTTATCAATTCTTTTCTTTATCTTTTTTAAGGTTTACATACTCTCTGGGATTAACACTACCTGATTTGGTTGTACCCATCTTGGGCTTTACTAATGATTTCGAAGTTGGAGCTAGAGTTCTATTTTTGAAGTTATCCTGTTTATTTTTTAAATTGTCTATTAAGTGCCGGTTTAATTTTTTAGATTTTATATATTGACCGATTTCCACTTGTATATAAAGATTGTAATTGATTAAAAATCACAAATATAATGAAATTCTCACCATTTTACCCTTTTCAATTCTTTTGAAGTGTCTTCTGCTGTTAATTCTCTTTGCTAGGTTGTTTTTTTTATTTCTGTGTCACAGTTAACTTCTGATCCATCTCATTTATTTAGTGTGGTTCAAGTTTATTAAATTTTTAATTGATGTACTTAAATCAGGCTGCTATGAGCAAGGTTCCAGATGAAGCCAAGAATGGTGATATTTTCTATGACCATTTGTCAGAAAGAGACAATTTTTGGTTTGATTTTGTTGCAGACACTGGTGATGGTGGGAACTCGACATATACAGTGGCTCGACTATTGGCCCAACGTTCACTACATTTGAGCCTTGGTGACTCTACCCGTTCTCTTCAACGTGGTGATTTGCTTCTTATTGGAGGGGATCTTGCGTAAGATTATATTCATTACCTCATTGAGATTAAATGAAACTAATGTGATAAGAGTTTTTATCTGTTTGAAAACAACCATGATACCATGACCAAAAAAAGGAATATTCAATATAGTCACTCGTTAGGACTTTTATGCTTATAAGTTTCTTTTATTTTAATTAACATTACTATTCAATTCTTGAAAGAATTTTGGTCACAAGATTGTTCCCTCCCATTGGTCTTTCTTTGCCACGCCAGTTTCTGCACTTTTGGCTTCAGCTTCCAACTAAAAGGATCCTGTTAGTAGTCTATCACTAGATTTCAGTCTGCTGATGAAGCAATTCTCCGTATGTCAGATTTGGTGATGATTCTTGAATTTTAAAATCCTTGCTGGATTCCTAATTATACATTCCAAGGTCATGCTTTGTTCAAACTCATTTATCAAGCATGTTCAGTGAATCTTATTCATGTAAATTTAGTATTTCAAGGGGCATATTAGTTGGTGTGTTATTTGAACTTGTGCCATCATGTTACTTGCTGTTGCAATATTTTAATTCGAAGATGGTTTTCCTCTAAATTTTCATCCAGTTTTAGTATGGCTGATAGAGGGTTTTTGTTTCTACAAAATTATAGTTAAAAGTTGTAGCATTCAAGAACATGAAAATCTTGCACAGGTATCCAAATCCTTCTGCATATACATATGAGAGACGCTTATTCTGTCCTTTTGAAGATGCTCTCCAGCCTCCATCCTGGTACAAAGCTGAACATATAGCAGTAAGCAAACCAGAGCTTCCGTATGGTGTGTCAGAAATGAAGCAGTATGATGGGCCTCAATGTTTTATAATTCCTGGCAACCATGGTTGGTAGTCATTTGCTATGTAGATGCTACTTGAGATTATTCCAAACAATACTTTTTAATCATGTTGATTTGGTTTGATTTATAGTCTTGTCGTCTAAGAGATTCTATTTAAAAGACTTGATTGTTGTCGATGCACAGTAGACTAAACTTATTTCTTGTACAGATTGGTTTGATGGGCTTCACACTTTTATGAGATATGTGTGCCACAAGAGCTGGTTGGGTGGGTGGTTTCTGCCTCAGAAGAAGAGTTATTTTGCTTTGAAGCTTCCCAAAGGATGGTGGGTGTTTGGTCTTGACCAGGCTCTTCATGGTGACATTGATGTCTACCAGTTCAAATTTTTTGCAGAAATATGTCGGCAAAAGGTATCCTGATCTCCTTTGCTGTGTATTTTTGTCTCTGTGGATACCTTTATTGCTGTCTTTGCAAATACTGGAATAACAGTATTTGTTTGTTGATAAATACATGGAAGCCAAGGATTGGTCTAGGTTAGGTCTTGATTGAGTCCTTAGTCTAGATTACACTTTGGTGCCCTATGTTTGATATGATTGGTTAGTCAAGTATTATACTGTAAGTTAGTCTAATTCTGTTTTCCAACTTTGAGGATTCATATCATGAATTTCATTATTATTTTTTGTTAATGATTTATGAGTCCTAAACAACAACAGTCTGGATATATTGCCAGTAAATCCCTTGGCATTTGTAATTGGTTTTTTCTTATGAGTGTTTACTGTCCTAACTCAACAAGACATGAGATGTGTTTATATGTATGATGGATTGGATCATGTGTGTCTCTAATGGAAGTCGAGTTGTGCTCTATATAGCTAGTAGGATGGGTGTTTCTTCATTCTTCGTTTTCTTACCTTTCTCTTATACACACTAGGGGTGTTCAAATCAAATCGAAAAATCGAACCGAATTGATTCAAAACTGGTTCAATCCGAATCAATTCACTAATGGTTCGGTTTTGAAGGCTATAAACGGTTGTAGTTCAAGGTACCCTTCTTTGGTTTGGTTAATCGGTTCAAACCAAACCAAACCAATTTTAATTTGAAAGATATCAATCTGGTTGAGTTTATTATCCAAAGCCCTTAGCTGATTCAAACTGGCCAAAAGGTCCAATTTCACATATGATGTGGGCTCAATTTCACAAATCTTGTTGTGTCATGCAATTGGACCAAGTTTCCGGTTCGATTCAATTAAATGGAATTGGTTCATTTGAATTTTTTTTTAATTACTTGAAATTACAAATCGTGAATCAGTTAACTGAACCAGATTAACCGGTTTTGAATCTGTTCGGTTAGGTATATCCGAATTAGTTTCGGTTCAGACTACCTTACTTTAACTGAACCGAACCGAAAAAATGGTTTTGTTCGGTTTGACCCTTAACTGTTCGGTTCGGACAGGTTTGAACACCTCTAATACACATAGTAAATGGTGGTCACAGGATTTGATCCCAGGATTTTGCTTTTAACAGTCAAGGTTTCTTACCAGCTATGGTCCCTAGCACCTTTAAAATATTTAGAAGACTCAAAATTTGGGTAAGATAGGTAATTTATAGTGAGGTGAATTGATCCTGGGACTTTGCTGTTGACTGTCAAAGTCCCATTGATACAAAAATGTTTTTTTCTCTCATTCTTTCTTGTTAGTTGTATAGGACCTCCATTTCTTGCATTTTGTTACTGCAGCAAATTTAAGCAGCAATCATATTTAAACAGGACGTATTATCTTATGGATTCTTCACGACAAATAGAGAAACTGCAGGTTCTAGATTTGGCAATCTCTATACTAGCTATACTTTTAAGTTCTCTCCCTAGAAGCCTTCTGTGCTATATCTTGTTACTTTCTCCTCTTTTGTTTAATGGCTTCAATTTGTCACTGATCTTGTTGAGGATCTTTGATCATAAGCTTCCTTATGAATACCCATGTTATATAAACCATGGTGTCATTAAAATTCTTGATTTCTTATAGTGTAATGCGCTGAATTGATGATTTATGGCCTTTTGACAAAAAAGTGCCAAATTAAAATAGAGGAAATTGAGATATGGGCTGTCTGATTACTATTAATAAAGCATTTGGTAGCTGATTGACCCTTCTGATATTTGAGAGCCAATGTAAATGGAGTGTCAAGTATGAAGTTTGATGATAAAAATTCAATTGGTTGCAACTACAAATGCATTATGATATTATATGAGATGTTGAACTTTGTGCATTGAATAATTATCATTTTGAAATGCTTATTGGGAACATATGGGGCTATGAAGGCATTAGTGAGGGGTGGTTAAACATGTAATTTTGTGGATTATAATGGAAAATATTAGATACTTCCAATTCAAATATTTCATTATAGTGTTGCTTGGTGATGAGGTCAAATTTGGTTGTCGATCCGAGCTACCGAATCTGAACTGAACCGACCTGGATCAAATTTTCCAGCCAAGGGTCCATTAGGAACTGTCTACACTGAGGAAGATCCTGTATGGTTTTATTCTTTCGGGTGGTTCTCAAAAGGCACCATTGAGAACGAAGTGACCTTTGACTTTCTATTAGGTTTTGGTTCTCCAGCTCTCCAATGAATACGGGACACATGGCCTCGTCATTTGGATCATCTATTTTTCTGATATTCATTTCAGTTCATATTCTTGGATGATCTAATTATCCTCAGATCTAGTTATGCACATGATTTTCAAAAAATCCTAAGCTAGATTTGCAATTTTCCTATACCTTGGTTGCTGCAGGTTCATGTTCTGGTATTGCTAGTTCCACTATGCATCCGCCTTTGTAATGGTTGGAACTTCAAATAAACACAAGGTCTTTTGGTCTCAATCAGGACAAATCAGAAATAATACTTTGGGAAGTGATATTGAAATTGAAGTATGACGCTGATATTAGGAAAGTGCAAATTGTCCTACCCATTTATTATTTCTTCGTTCAGGTTATGGAGATTCTTTTTTGTAAAAGATATCACTAGATTGAGAGTCGATCATAAGATTTACCACTTATGGTTACAAATGCCTATTCGTCTTTGGTTCTCATTTTATCACTATATTACATGCTGGAACTTGTAAATGAACAAACAATATATTATTTTGGCGAGGGCCAAACCACTACAAATCCAAATGATAGAAGAAGCAGCAGAACATATTTTGAGAATGAACTTGAGTCTAGATTTTTACATATGATACTTGGGAGTTGGTGCACTACTACATAAATTTCATTGTTTTCAAGCTTTTGCAGTATTTTAATTCAGTGAAGATTTCATATCTGGAGCTGAGACAATATAGACCATTGTAATGACGAAGTAGAAGACCGAAACTTATTTGATTTCTTTCCTGAAGCATCCTCTTATGTCTGTTACATTGCACATGGTGAAATTGCAGTGGAAGTTATCCAATCTTTATTTCCATTCTGATGGATTGTCATTTTTCAGTTTTTTTTGCACATGTCATTCTGATATTCATTTAGTTTCACAACAATCATGCTCATAACTCTGGGTCTTTGCTTAGAATCGTAATTTGTATCAAATGATTGTTTCGTTCGTGATTGTATTCCCTATATTTGTAACAATTTCTAATTATACTCATGATGCTTGTAAATTACTTGGTCAAATTTATTAAAAAGGTTGTTACTCCTTTTTTTTTCTGGTTTAGTTGCATCTATTGGTTTGCAGAATGGCTCGATGAAATATTTCATTATGTCAAACTTGAAGATAATTGGATAACTTCTCAGGTTCAAGAAAATGACTGTGTCATTGTAATAACTCATGAGCCTAATTGGCTTCTTGATTGGTACTGGAATGATGTCACTGGGAAAAATGTCTCTCATCTGATAAAGGACTACCTGCATGGTAGATGTAAGCTTCGCATTGCTGGGGATTTGCACCATTATATGCGCCATTCTTTTGTTCCATCAGAGAAGCCTGTTTATGTGGAACATTTGCTTGTAAACGGTTGTGGTGGAGCCTTTTTGCACCCTACACATGTTTTCCGAAACTTTAATAGCTTTTATGGAAGTTCTTTCAAAAGCAACGCTACGTATCCTTCTTATGATGATTCTAGTAGGGTAAGCCATAGTATTTTTCTGTCCTTTTCTTCCACATTTAAGCATATATTTTGCTTTTTTCCATGTTTTTAATCATCTGATCTAAATCATGGCTGATTAAGTTTTGTTTTGCATATCCTTTTTTCTTCCCAAATCTGCTTGATCTTATACATTTTGCAATTGTTTGTTTAGATTGCTTTGGGCAATATTCTGAAGTTCAGAAGAAAGAATTGGCAATTTGATTTCATTGGTGGTATCATATACTTCATATTGGTGTTTTCTATGTTTCCACAGGTAAAATGTTCTATGATTCTGCACCTTAGCTTCAGATTTTATAAAATTGTTTCGGCACTTTGTACAACTTCCATTTTGGTGCATTCACATTTTATTAAAGACACTGGAATTCTTGGCGCTTTCTTTGTTGTTATGGTTCATGTTCTGAAGATAAATTTTCGAATCATGCTTTTATGTATTTGTACAACTTGTTCTGCTAGGTTGAAACACATTAATTAGTTTGTTATCGATAGGAATACTAGATGGATGAAGTAACCTAGAATTTTATTTTCATTCTTGGATTGTTATATTTTAAATTGAAGATATAATTCTATGTAACAGATTATACCCAGTAATTCCAGAACATGGAAATGGTTCAGTGGTTTTATTATTAGGACAATTGAAATTGCATACATATGAGTTGCTTTTTGATTTAAGACTGAAAGATCCTTTCTATAGCATATTATTTGTGTCTTTGCACGTGGTCGGCGGGCAACGAGATGGACAGCAACAGGAGGCGAAATGGGAGAAGAGGGCTCGTGAATGTGAACCCTAAAGAGTATTAATTAATTAATTTTTAATGGGTTGGACCAGACCACATGGGACAGTGGCAGTCTGCATACCGGTTCATGCCCGGACAGATACATACCACTCATTTCTTACTGAGCGAAATGGTGGTCCATGGTCTTATGGCTTAAATTGCATTTTTCTCTAACAAGAAATGTCACTGACCAGTGAAGTTTGAACTTTTAACATCTTACCAACCTCATAAATTTGGTGTAACAATTATATTATAAGGCTGATTTCCTGACTACTCGTTAGAAGCTATTAGGGTATAGAGGTAGCTGATTCTGCATCCTTTTAGAAGGGACTGGTCCATGTGGAGGCTCCACATGGTTTTCTGATAATATGCGCAGACTCCTGGTTATTTATATACCTCTTCCTTTCTGTAAAAGATCAGTTATACATGCCAAGCTGAGTACTATCCATTAGATTCATTTTATGCCATTATTAGATATAGATATCCAACTTTTGTGGAAGCTAAGTATTTTTCTAAGATTGTCAATAGCTAACACATCTCTATATTTGAATATGTGATGGCTTGTGGCTAACACATCTATATAAGAGAGCATGGTCATTGTCTTTAAGATAAGATGTTAATTTTTTATGAAACATTCCTCATAATTGTCATTGTCATCATTATCTTTATTATCATTTCATTATAAGATTTGTTCATCATTATGTCTTTGATCCCCAAATTATCTGACAATTAAAGTTCAGAGAGGGGTTCCTTATTATGTCTTTGAATAAATTTAAATAACTGACTTAAATTGGGGTATTGGATTCAATTTGCTTTGAATTGTTTTGTAATGGGTTTTCAGCTTGGTTTGAGAAGCATAAAACTGAAGCTAGGTTGCAGATCCTCTAGTTCTCAATTAACCACAGAAATTAAACCAAACTGAAAAGCAATACTTGCCATATATTCTAGTATACATAATGTACTAACCAATGTGCTCGATAAAGATAATCACCATCATTTCAATATTATCTATAAATACATCACTCAATTTGAGTTTTATACTGTGTGACGTATGACATGCACCATGGAATTACACACACACACATGTATATATGTGTGTGTGTATGTTCTCACAAGCAAGGATTGATGTATCGCCCAAAACGATATAGTACATGCGATACATATCAGTCCGACAATTGATCGAGATGCGGATCACCCTGTACTTGGCAGTATACAGCAGCCGGGTCGCATTGGGTGATACAGTCTTCGTAACGAGTGAAACGATCAGAATTGGAACGTTATGGATCAATGGATGTGATCCCCTGGTTCAACAGTCAAATTGACTCTTGAGCCACTTTAAAACTCCATTTGAACCTCCTCTCTCCCTCTCTCACTCTCACAACTACGAGCAGATGCGACAAAGTCTCTATGATGTAGACATAAAGTGAAACTCATCATATTCACCTCCGTCATATTTTGGAGGATCTTACGACGAATAACAAAACGAAGATAGTTGGTCATTCTTTTTCAAGGCTCATTGTTTTTGTGATACGGAGCAGTAGGTAAGTGGCAATAGCAGAAGTACCAACATTTGCCAACCTCCTATCCAATACTTGTCACAATCATACTTGCCTCAGGAGCCTCGGACACATTATTCAGGTCGATCAAGCAACAACCATCGCCACGTTGATGCACCAATGATATACAGTTTATCATTACAGTATGTCATGGTAGCAGTTTGATTTTGGTGGTATAAATTCATAAGATCGAGGATCCCAATCCATCAACTATGGAATCCCGTCATTCGTTTTGGTGGTTGAAGCAGTTATATACAATTTGCTTTCATTTATTACTTGGTTTGTTTAAATCTTAAAGTTTTAACACGTAATCTAGCATTTCAATTCGTATCTTTGTAGATGATTTAATATCAACGCAAGAACCATGCAGAACATGCTGCAAAGTTGCTTTCACAAAAAAAAAGCAATCCACTATCCCTTATTTGGATATTTCCTTATTGAAATTGAACCGAATTTGCATTTAGGTCTAATTAAAAGGCTCTAATTTAGGTTTTTTTTCATTTTCAGATATTTTTGGGAAATTTCCAGCCATTTTTTGGGTTTGTCGACACATACCGGCGTACCGACATATGGTATGCTGGTGCTAATCGGTATGTACCAGTCCAGACCTGGACCGGCACCACCGGTCAGCACGAGACTGCAAACCTTGCTCACAAGTGCTAAATTGTAATATGTTACTGCTAATTTTTTTGAAATTTAAAGATCCTCTAAAGAGGTTTACCTATGCTGACACTAAGAAACATGTGGGATTTTTTGTTGACACACCAAAATCCACTTTATTGATCATTTTCATAGGAGCTATCTTCTTTTCTCTCTGTTACTTGTTTCTGTGTTCTCCAGTAGCATCTGCTGAAGAATTCACAAATGCACGTGTTGATAATTCTCAGTTACCATAGTCGTTGACTGTAACTGTTAAATATGATGTGTTGTCTATTCTCCAGTATAATTCAACCTTTCATTCACTTCAGACAATGAAATCTGCATATATGCATTGTCTTGGTCTTTTAGTTATTTTAGTTGATGACTTTGATACTTGAACAGTCACTTCAATTGTACATTGCATATTACATCTTCTAAAAGTTGTTGGAAACTTGAAAACATGATTGCTTTTGTACTTCTACTGTCCACAAGCTGCTGAAACTTTTCTTATATGGTAATTCTTTTGTCAGGTTAGGAACATTTGCTAAGTTTATCTTAAGATAGATGACATCTTAAAGTATTGACATTTTTTGTATTAAACTTTTTAGTGTGATGTTTTCCGCATCTTACATGATGATTCACTGTCTGGACGTCTCAACAACTTCTTTAGTACAATGTGGAGGAACTTCTTGTATATGTTGGAACACTCTTATGTTTCTCTGGTGGGTACTCTCCTGTTGACAGTGGCATCATTTTTCTTTTTGCCAACAAAACTATCACGGAAGAGCCGGGCTGTAATTGGTGTTCTTCATGTTTCTGCTCATATGTTTGCTGCCCTGATTTTGATGTTGCTTTTGGAATTGGCTATTGATATATGTGTCCGCAATCGTCTATTAGCGACTGCAGGTGTGTAAATTTTTGCTGTGTGATTATTTTCTCCACTATAATCATATGTTGAATATAATGTCACTGCATCTGTCTCTTAAGCAAGGTGGTCTCTTGATTTTGATTTTATCGTCAAATAGTTTAAGTACATCATACATTTGATACATTGGAAAATAAATTGAGTCTGAATACTTCATTTTACTTGTTTGTCTTATCGGTTGAATATATTTAGGCACTCAACGATTTTTTCCCCCCTTCGATATATTCGCTCTCCAGCTGGATAATGAGATCTTGATTCATAACCTATTTTCATTGGATTTCAAAAATACATTGGATCTTATAAATCTATAACATTGTAAGATCTGCAGCAAATATATGTTCTGTAGTACAATGTAGTCTGGAAAATGGTAAAACCACAAAAATTTTGGTGTGAAGAAGGTGTCTGTTAATCATATGTGACTTGACAAGCTTCGGTTTGCACCATAGGAGTATATTCTTCCAATCAATTATTAGTAAAATCTTTTAATGCTAAATTTTAGGCATCTAGACATGATAAGGGTTAACCCATAACAAGATGAAGGTAGAGAATTAAGTTCTTGGTTTATGTTGGCTGAACGATAACAAATTTCTTGAATTTGTGGTATTTTCTTGGCTTGTTGTTCTGAGATGGAACTGCTGCCAACTGAATAATGTGCTCTAGCTCAAGTGTTCATGCTGCATTATGCAGCTGTTGCCATATTATATACCTTGTTGCATGTCAAGCAGGATGCCTATTCATAGAACTAAGTTGAGCATGGGCATGGCAGGTGGCCATTGCCATGCTAACACTAGGCCTGCAAATTTTTGACATGCAATGCAAAAGCTTGGTTTCTATTCGGTCATGAAGTTTACATGTAGGCTTGCCTTTGCTTGAGCAACAAATTTTTTTCTTGGTTGACTTTTTAGTGTGACTAATAGATGCCATTTTGATTCTTCTCCATAATCATAAGTGATTGCTGAAATTACAATTATGGAGTGATATTTGAAGGTAAATTTTAATGTATTCATCAAAGTGCGATGCTTACTTTGCTCGTAAGGCTTCACTCTGAAATCTGCTGACAGATAGTCCTAAAGGCTTATGAAACTTATCTTGGATTCCAACTAGGATCTTATGATAGTGCTGTTTTACGAGGATCTTGAGATAGATGAGAAATTTATCCATTTTGGAAATTGGAAGCCAATGAGGTTTATATGCTTTATGGTTTAAGCTCTCACAATAGTGCATTGGCACAGGATACTGAGAGGGATGGACAAATCTGTAAAAAAGAAAAGAAAGATTATCATATTATTAATTTCAAAAGGATTGTTGTTTTTGAAAAGCAGAGATTGTTGTTTAAGAATTCAATGATACTCAGAAATAACTATTATTTTCAGGTGGATTATCATATTTTAGTAGTTATAATGTGATATATAGGTGAACTAGTTAAGATGATTGTACCATGTAAACAGAAATTATTAGGTTTCTTGCTCACAACTTTTTGCAGGCAGCTGCATTTTTTAGCCATAAATACTAATCTTGTGATATTGTTCATATACTGGTTTCACTTCATTCTTCAATTGTTCAATATTTGCTTATATTAGGCTATCACACTCTCTATGAATGGTATCGATCCATGGAAAGTGAGCATTTCCCAGATCCAACTGGACTACGCGCCCGTATTGAACAATGGACATTTGGACTTTATCCTGCCTGTATAAAGTACCTCATGTCGGCTTTTGACGTTCCTGAGGTGATTGAAGTTTGGTAGTGTTGGTTGGACTTGTCTTATGTACTCCATTACTTTTACTATTAATATTATTTTCCCTCACAGGTTATGGCTGTCAGTAGAAGCACAATCTGCAGGAAAGGGATTGAGACCCTTCCACGTGGTGGTGCCATTATCTACTATGCTTCAGTATTTCTGTATTTCTGGGTCCTCTCTACACCCGTTGTATCTCTGGTATTTGGCAGCTATTTATATATCTGCATCAACTGGTTCCACATTCACTTTGATGAAGCCTTTTCCTCCCTTCGCATTGCAAACTATAAGGCATTTACTCGCTTCCATATTACTCCGACTGGTGATCTTGAAGTCTTCACTCTTGCAGTTGACAAGGTGATGGCTTTACACTTGCAGCTTACTTTACACAATCTATCATAATAACGACGTTGTTTTGGGCTGATTCCAATATATATTTTTTAACAATACCAGCCTTACTATAATAATTTAAAGAAACATATATTCCATCCTGGAAATTTGTTACTGCCTTTGTGAGTTTTTCTCCTAGCTGCCTCTTTGTACCCGTTTGTCATGGTCCCATGTTCTGCTACATCTAATCTATGTGCTTAGTCTAGGTTACTCATAAGGCATGGGCATTCTCTGATACTTGGTAAAGCATATGCAGTGTTTAGTGATCATAAGATTATAATTAATGACAACTGTGGTTGCCTGAGTAATTATTTATTGTTGAAGTTCATTGTGGGCTCGGTGTTATCAAATTCCTTGTTTGACTGATTTTTTAAAATTCCATTTCCTGTAGATGATGCAAATTTACTTGCTGGTTCTTTGGAACCAGAAGATGTCCAATGCCAGATGTCTCTTTCCTCTAACCCACCGGTTCTCTTTTTATCCACAAATTCACATCTGCCAATGCCATCCACAAATTCTTTCAATTCAGAAAAGAATTTGAAGTTGCTTGTTATGTTGCATTGGTTATTTTCTTGGGATCTTGATCGTCAATTTTTCTGTATTACATCCTGATTTCCTCTCTGCATTATAACACAACATACTATAGATTACGGCTAAACATCAATACTGAATCATCAGCTAAATTCAGAAAATATTGGAACTTGCTTGTGATGATGTATTAGTTCTTGGGATCTTGATTTTCAATTTTCTGCATTCCATCCTGACATCCTCACTGCATTATGACCCAATAGTTTTATATCTTATACTTAAAAACTTAATAGGAAGACATCTAAAATCTCCAGGTTCTTATGTCAGGACTCCTATTGACATGCATTTACTCCTGCATTGTAAGTGAATGGGACATATCTTGATTACTAGTATTGGATCAAGGAATTCAAATGATCGAATTTATTTCTGATGAGACATTAGTTGCAAATGGTAAAGATCCGATCGCATTGCACAGAGATTGAAGCATTACCTTGTATAGGTTCTTTTAAAGAGAATTACTTTTTTCTGTTTATACCATGACTTGATTACACATTTATGGATGCTTCATACAGTTCTCAGTTTAACTGCAGCTTGTGTTTTTGTCAATTAGGTTCCGAAGGACTGGAAGCTGGATTCCAAGTGGGACACCGAACCGAAAGAGCCACTGCAGTTGAGCCATCTCAGAATGTTCCCCAGCAAATGGACGGCGGCTACTGGCACAGACCCAGTTAACTCTGTGCGCATTATCGACCATTTTGTCATCCAACGGACACCGAACCCTACTGCTGATGCAAATGGTTGATTCCCTTGTCATATTTTATCTGGGCTTGTATCATAGTTGTAAAAAAAAAAGGGGGAAATATCAACCATGTTCATTGACCACCACTGGCAGCAACAAGGTTGATTGACTTGTCATATAGGAAATCAGATGGCTGATTTCGGTTGATTGACTTGTCATATAGGAAATCAGATGGCTGATTTCTCTCGATAGTTTTAAACAGTCATGGGAATACTGGCAATTTAGAAGGGAATAGCGGTAATATCAAGTTTCGATGTCCTTTATTTTTTGGGGCAAATGCTTTTTGGTTGAATGCCTCAGATCTTTATGATGGCCTAGTGCAGGCTAGCTTGGCAAAACAGGGGCAAATCCAAGTAGCTTAGCTTAAAATCGAGTATTACAAACGGCTGAAAGGTCTTGGTTGGATTGCCCAGAATCCCATGTCCAGTTGTGTCAAAAGGTCTTGTACGGTTTGTAACGCTGCGCACAGGGTGGTCTACTACTGCATCGTTAGTAGCATTTCCACCGAGGATGAGCAGGAAGACGAACACAAATGACGTGATAAAAGCGGCATGTTGACTATTTATCGTGAAATAACACCTTAGCTTCTGCCTCAGAAAGTGTAGTAATTAATTAATGTGGGGTGTGTAGGCCGATTGATTTAGGTAATGTTCAATGTGCTTTTGAATTTTGATAACTTTGTTTAACAGTCTAAAAACTTAGGCAGACGAGGGAAACCCAAGCTCTTGCATGATAATTTTGGTTGCAAAGGGAATTGCATTACAACGCGATGCTTACTCTTTTAAGTCACAGGTCACATACCTCCGGCGATGTAGGACGGAAATATGAGCATCAATTTTTCTTTGTTTTGCCCGTCATCAGCCAATGTAGCCGAGTCAATAATGCATGTTGAGCTTCAACCGGGACGGAAGCCGAATCGAGAACATCAAAGCGTCACAGTTGGTAAAGATGTTTGTAGGACAACATACATAAATATTCCCATCATGCCTCGAGCAACGAACCACTCTACTGCTCCTACGGCACAAAGGTTTCAACTCTATCTTCATCTATCTTCAACCAATAGGCATAGATTGGCATTGCTGACATTACAACCCTTGACCGCCTTCACCATGGTGGAGCAGTTGGGTGCTGATGAACGCCCAAAGCCGCTTGCTTCCCTCCTCGCACCGAGCGGCGAAGAAGAAAATATCGCCATGTTTCCTGCCGCCCACATGTCGACAAAAGCCGCTCCACTATTCTCCCCCCCCCCCCCCCCCACCGACGTCGTTCTCCACCACTTTATCACTGCGCGTTTCCTCGAACACTAAGCAACCCTTCCATCATATAATACGCCCCTCTCTTCCCCCTCCCTCGTTCTCCCGCATCCCCTTTGGTTTCGCCTTCTGCATTCATTTTGATCCCCGTAGATGAGTTACTATGGTCAACAGCAGCCTCCTCCCCAAGGTACTACTCTCTCTTCCTCCTCTTATTAGCGAGAGGACTCTGTTTCAAGTAACTTCTAGAGATCACATACTCTTCTAACACTCACTCTCACATGCCATCGTACATCAAAACAAGAGTGTAAGCTTACATCCCAACCCACACTAACATTGTTCCTCCTCCAATTAGCAGCCATCAGAACATGAGTGTCAAAGACAACAACAAAAAATGATTACTTAATGTCAAGCATTGTGATATGCGTTCATCCTCCGACCCTTGCACCCTTCCAATCCATGTATTAGCTAGTGATGATCTTACTGGATTCTGTGGGTTGTGTTTTAACGTGCAGCTTACCCCCCACCACCCAGTGCTTACCCTCCCCCGGGGCAGACTTATCCCATGCCACCTCAGGTCGGCGATCCGGTGAAGGATGGAGGAGCTGTCGTTGCGCAACCAGTCTCGGCAGAGACGCAGAGCCGAGGAGATGGCTTCTGGAGAGGATGGTGACCGCAAACGTTTTCTTCTAGTGCTACTGAATCTATTTTGCTACTTTGATCTGACTTCGACCTTCCTTTCCTGTTGCAGCTGCGCTGCGCTATGTTGCTGCTGCCTTCTTGACATGTGCTTCTGAGACCAGTGGAATGGCAGCTGACCTCTCAATGCATACATCGCTTGAGCAGTTTTAAGTTCTTGTTTAGCTTATCTATGTAAATGTTGGACTTCATTGGGATGTAGGAAATCCTTGATGTGATCTCTACTGTTCTACGGTGACATGTACTGCTCAAGCTAGTTGCTTGTTTTACTAGATGGGTATGCTTCAGATTGCTATAAAAGGTGGCTCATTGCAACTACATGAGGCAGATTACTTCGATACAGCTCAAATATGAACTTTGTGAGAATGAAATAGATGTACTAACTAGTGAGATTAAACTTGAATTCATCTACAAAATCTGTGTGGGTAAAAGGAGAAGAGGGAAAGATCATAACTTTACCACTCTTTCAATTGGAACTCATGATCTGCACCAAGAATTCTCAAACCGAAAGATCAAACCTTTAGCGGCGGAAGGATCAAACCGCGACCAGCCCTTCGCTCGGAGTTCATGAAACACACCACGAATCCCCGCCCACGCCCGCTTCACTTACCCATCGTCATCAGCCGCGTTCAGCATCGTTCCATCGGGTTCCACGCGCCGCTCTACTTCTTGACCAACGGAACCACCATATTTCCAGAACCCCAAAAAGGGAACGATTCGGAAGAGGGGATTCCACAGGGATGTCACAAAAGATCGGAGGCAATTCGGAGTCGATTCCCGGAATCTGATGCAGGGTTAGGGTTTCGAAAGAGCGAAGGTGTCGGAGGAAGAAGAAGAGAGATTAATTTGCTCAGTTGAGGGCCTACTGTGTGTTAGGTTTGGGTCAAGCATTGAGCTTATTGAGGGCCGTTGGATTGGATTGGGTTATTGATAGGTCTTAGTATTGGGCCGTGTTGGGCTTGAAGGCCTGCAAATGGCAGGAGAACCAGCAAACGCATGTGGGACAAAATCCACAGAACGAGGACACGTTAATACTACTACATAAGCCAAGAAAGTGTCTGTGGGAGGTGAGTGTCTGCGTGCTAGCTTTCGATCATGGCGTCCAGGTTGTTGTGGGCTCGCGGAGCCGCCTCCTACCTGAGGATCTCTACCTTCCATAGGGGCTTCTCCACTGGTAAATCTCCAATCTTGGTTCGATGTTCTTCTGGTTTTCCACCTGTTTCGTTAGATCTTGGTCACGGCTTGTTCGAACGTAGAGATCTGCTGGTTTCGAGACGAAAGTTCGGATTTTTCTTGTTGTTTGCTTTTGCTGACGATTGGATCAGCCTTTACCCGTAAAACTTTGGATCATTTTGGTGTTGCTGCGGTTTTGGGTGGCGGGATTGGTCTGTGTTTGTGGCTTTAGTATTCTTAGGTTTTTTAGGGTGATGGGCTTCCTTCATTTTTCACCTCTTTTTTTCTCTTTTTTGTTGGTATTTTCCCTCGATTAACGTAGAAAGAGAGCAAAACGATTGTGTAGACGATAGGTTTATGTTGTCACCAATTTGTATTTGATATAGGTGGGAGGGAGTGAGCAAAGACATACTTGCTTCTAAGACGCATACCCCCCTCTCAACTTCTTATGATTGAATTGTTATATATTGACTTTTTGGTCAGGTGGACTGATGAAGAGAGATCATTGAAGACCCTTGACACTTATTTCTTCATGATGTTCTACCGCAACATTTGTTTGTTCATTTACTTCGTCATTTAGATGTAAAATGACTTGTATTTTTCAGTAACTGCTGGACAGATCCATAATGAAGTTCATTAGTGTTGGGGCTTTTTACTTGAAGGGTTTTGGATCTCAATATAGTATTGGTTGCCAGATGTAT